TGTGTGTGTGTGTGTGTGTGTGTGTGTGTGTGTGTGTGTGTGTGTGTTTGTGTCTCACTCACTGAACACCTCCAACTCAGCACTGATTGACAAGTTGGTGTTTTGTACAGAGCAGGTGTAGAGACCCTTATCGTCGTGGGTGACATTTAATATCTGAAGCTCCCCGTTTGTGAGTGGGTTTACCCTTGGACCTGCAAGAAGAGACGATACCTCGGTGTCCCTAAGAAAGACACACAAACACGTCAGAAGTTTGGCAAGCAGGGAGACAAAGTAACCTTTTCAGAAATTAAACTCACCCATTTAAATACCTCTTATTTTCTATTTTACATTAAAAAAAAACAGTTTGGATACTTGCCTAGCTAACAGATTTCAGTCACAGCCCAGCTGTAGCAGCATTTGGTTGCTAATTTATGCACATGAAGAGCTCCTTACGCAACAACATCAGATTTGTGAAATAGAATGAGAAAACCAGCCAGATAACACTGGTAAACTAAATAAACAGTCACAGAAATCTGCCTCACCATATGACTTTAGGTTTTGGAGAGCCAAAGGTCTCACAGTCTAGTAAAACCTTCTGGCCTTCGGTAACTGAATACAGTTTCCTGTCTTCAGTTAGGATCTGAGGAGGCAGCTCTGAAACAAAACACTCAGGTTTTACAACAAATACAGATTCAAACACAGAGAATACAGTTTAGTTATGGGCGTGCGAAAAGAAAAAAGCTCACCGATGACGTAAACATAGGTGTTGGTGAGGATGGTTCCGTGTTTGTTGGAGGCCAGGCACTGGTAGATGGCAGTGTCTCCAAAGATGACCTCCCTGAGGATCAGTGATGTGTCTGCCATCACGGTTCGTCTGGGGTCCTTATCAGTTGCTGTTGAATAGTTACACACTCTTAGTACAGCTAAAGTGTCCAAGGATGTAGAAATGAGTTCAGCTGGCTTTGTGCTCTGACCTGACAGGGGTGTCCCGTTGATGGTCCAGCTCATAGTGGGAGAGGGGGTACCCTTCGCCTCACAGTCGAGCTTGACTGTCTCGCCTGGTGCATAAATCTGACTCTCTGGCACCTTTTTCCAATAAGGAGCAGCTGCAGACGACAGAATATGGCACTAAATCAAGCAAAACATTAAGAAAAGCCAGACCTGGTAACAGTTGACACTATAAAGCAGTGGACTATGAATGGCTCAAAGAGACAAGCAGATAAAATAATCTTTTACGTGAAATTAATTTGCTTTGAAGACTCCTGCAGATGTCATCCTAAAATCTGACAATGGCTGTTAAAAAATATAAAAGCTTAAATGTGACTTTATAAAAAAATGAATTGTGTTGCAGACTTCATTATTTTCTTTACTGTCCTTAAACATTTTTATATTAAATATAACTAATAGATAATACCTCAAAGCAGGTTTTTTATTTGTTAAAGGATACTCCTTTAATTATTTTCAATTAGGCACCCCCCTATATATATATATATATATATATATATATATATATATATATATATATATACATACTGTAAAGACATATATATATAAAGAAATATATAAAAGACGTTTAAAGTATGTTCATGAATTATTAGAATAAACATAAATCTTTGAATACTACACATCTACATGGCAACTAATACGCTAATCTGAAATCAAACTGGTTATTGCTTCAAAACTACAAAAGGTCTTCATTCATAATTTACTTACAGTTTACATTCATAAAGCTACTTGTGTATACTACTAACTTTAAAATATGCAACAGAAACTACAAACCTGTGGCCTTTTGACTTTGTTTCACACAGACTAAATAAAGTGTATTTTAAAAGTTTTGTTTCTGCGTATTTATGGGTGCAAATAAAAGAAAGAGTACCTTCCACAGTCAAACTGTATGTGTGTATGGCCTTCCCCTGGGTGTTCTGAGCTATGCACTGGTACTCGCCACTGTCACGTTCTGTGATATTACTGAGGCGCAGGCTTCGGCCAAACTTTTCTATCTTGGCACGGGACTCCAACAGCTCGCCATTCTTCTTTACCCATGTAATTTCAGGTGCTGGTCTGAAGTCGAGAGAAGTGAAGACAGGTACGGATGGAGCAAGACAGACATGTAACAGAGAGGAGACAAAGAAGCAGAAAGAGAGGAAAAAGGCCCAAAAGAGAGTAGATAGAAAGAGGTGGCAGGAGAGAAGATGGAGAGAATGTGAGGCAGCGAAGACTGGTTTGGAAGAGCAGCAGCATTTATCTTATTAGTGAAAGCAAAGGTGAACATGAACAGACAGACACTCACAGGCCCTGGACGATGCACTCAAGCTCTATGGTCTGGCCCCGGAGGGCGTGGTACGTGCTGTTGCTTCCAGTAGGCGTCATCATGTGCGGTCTCCGGTTCCGCAGTAACGAATTGGCTGGACAAAGAGGCGGAAATGCACAGAGAAGGAGACAGACTCATACATATGGATGGGTAATTTTCAGATTGCTGTTCTGCTGACACTGCAGCTACTTCAGCCACTCTGACACACCTACATATGGATGCAGGGAGTGGAAGTAAAAACAACAATACCTCCCTTACAAAACAGATTCACGTCTGATGTTACACATGTTCATCTTTCTGACCTCTAGTTGAGCCACAGATGCTTGCTGAAGCCTCTCAGTGTGAGCTGCATCTCATTACAACTAGACTGAGATGATAATGGACTCCCTGCTGACTGTGGGGCGTGCACTGGATTCGGTCACTGCTTTGGTCAGCACAACATGCCACCACATGGTGAGGAGTTCACTTTGGTTTGGCTATTGTGACTCACTGGGTCTCAACAAATACCAAAGTGCTTCAACAATTTTATACACACTCGTTTTAGGCTTACCAGCCATATTTATTGATGAACGCTCTAATAAAGGAGTGGCAAGTCCACCCGGATGTTGAGGTCAGAGCCATAAATAGGTATCCTTGATTCTCATACAATGCATCAAATTCTCTGTCTGAGGAAAATGGGTGTCTAGTTGCAATTTTCAAACACTGCCGAGGAAGCTGTCCTTTTCTGTATGAGTGATTTTAAAATTGCATTATCTACAACAACAAAACAAAAAGACGAGCAGAACCAGCTCATTTTTATCATTCACCAAAATAGTATTTTAGAAATGGTGCAAACTGGCACAGAATAACATGCAAGTGAATTGATTATTAATATGTCTATTGACAGCTTATTTCTTTTAGCTACACAGATCATGTAGTGTAAATCTCACTCGTTCATATAATAAAGGTGAAATTCTTGGTGCGGAATAAAAAAGATTGTTTTATCAGATCTTCACTTAAAGACACTCAGTAAATATATTCTGCATAAAATTTTATAATTCACTCTGTTTTTTGCATAAAAAGCAATTGTTCTAGTGTAGACTGACAAGAACACTTAAGTGAATGTTCTGATAATGAACCCTTTAATTTGATCACAGCTTTCAGTGAAACAAAATTCTATTCATGATTATTTTTAAATGTTGGAGAAGCATAGCTTTCGCAAGGAGACCAGCTCTGTCTGCAATCAATGGTAGAAACGCGTAATGACTAGAAAGGGAAAAAAAATAGTGTGGAAATATTAGTTGAAGAGAGTGTAAATGGTTGTTTGTCTCATTTGTTTCTGTGTCCCTGTGATGAACATGTGACCTTTTCAGGGTGTGCCCCGCCTCTTGCACAGAGATAGCTGGATATGGGCACCAATGACCCCCATGACCCAAAAAGGAAGAAGTGGGTAAAGATGATGGATGGATGGATGGATGGATGGATGGATGGATGTAAAGGTTTTACCAACTAAAAGACGTAATGTTTCACAACTTCAGCTCAGGTCTGATCAGTTGGTTCTACATGCTTGATCCAGAACAGAACTCACAGGGGTTGACCTTCAGGGTGATGGCTTCTTTGGCCAGGATTGTTCGTGTCGCCAGATACTGGACGTGGCATGTGTAGTCATCTCTGCTGTCATCGACTGTCAGATGAGCGAAGTACAGGTTGCCATCCTTCCCTGCCACCACCCGTTTGCTGAGCTGGATATGGCGTAGGTCTGAAGAGAAAAAAGGAATAGAGGATGAGTGACACACATCTTTGTTCTTATCTAATCGTCCAACACTAAGAGGATAAGTAGAAAAATATTGGATTTGGCTCCTTGTAAAATCCACATTTACAATTTTAAAACTACAATACGTTATCGTTTTTGTCGTTCTCTGATATGATCAACAAAAAGCTGGGCACAGAGTGCAAGAGTTGATCTTATTGAAGAGAAAGGAAACAGAAGCAGAGATGATGAACTCACGCTCATCCATCCAGTGAATGACGGGCTCCATGGAGCTCTGTGGGGGGTTACACTTCAGAACAATACTGTTTCCCTCCTCAGCTTTCACAGTGACTTTTTTTTCTTTCTGCTGGGACGGGGGAACTGCACAGAAGTAAGCAAGGAACAAATGCACACAGGTAAGGAAAAAAGGTGATAACACAAACAGAGATTTCCTGAGGCAACCCTCATCACGTGTCACCACAAACACACACAAACCAAGACGTCTTTTGTCTTGCAGAAGTGGAAAAACATACGTGAGTCATGCGTGCATGCTCTCCCTCCCTCTCATTGTTGATAACCACACAGGATACACTGAAGAGAGCTTCACATGACATCAACTCAAGAGCGTTACTGCGGAAACGGTTGTCAGGGAAACTGTGAGGGAAGGAGGTCGCTCAGGAGAGAGCCAGTCACACAGGTGGATGGATAATCAAAGGTGCTCTTTACTTCAGGGCTCACATTCATGTGCAACTGCTGATTATCAACTTATTGCATGTAATTAGATTCCAGGTTTCACGACTTCGACTTCCAACTGACTGAGCTCTCTATGAGAGAGAACACTGTAATATTATCTTCGAAGGCTTCTGAATTAGAAAATAATAATTATAAGCTAACGTTTAAGAAAAATAATTTAACTTCCCCGATGGCTGAAAACAAATCTAATTAAAAGGCTGGCGTTCCTTGAAGGAATGTGTATCACCTGCCACCGTTCATGCCAGAGTTTTAGACTGAAATCGGCTCATGTTAAGAAAAGACAAAGTTGTAACCAGTTTGATTGAATCTTTTAAAAATTTACATTTTGTACAAGTGCATACAATATTGTCAGATGTCAAACTCAAAGTACAGTAATTTCTGGACTATTGAGCGCACCAAAATATAAGCCGCGCCCACTAAATTTAAACAATAATAATAATTTTGTACATATAGAAGCTGCACTTGTGTGTAAGCCGCGGGTGTCCATGTTGTAACGTGAGACATTTACACAGAAAAATGTTTTAAACTTTTGATTAAATACGTATCGTAACATACACAGATATGTACAGTAAATGTTTTTTGTTTCTTTTTTTCTGAACAGTGCTGGTAACACAGCTGGTTAAAAAATATCCAGTAGCCTACCAGGAAGTCATTGATTGCTATCTTCATTTTCCTCCTGCAGAGGATTGTTTTTAAAAAATTGCTCCTCCGTCAGCATCCACTGGCAGACTGGAGCAGAAGTTGCTCTGTGCATGCCGTCAGCTTTGTTAAATGGTTTCTCGCCACCAGTCATTCAAGCCTCCCACCGAACTTCGAGTGTCACGTTAACACGATTCACACTGATATCGAGTGGCTGCTAATAATTTGTTGTGCCTCCAGGGAGGGGCGCAAGTTCCCCCTCCCCCATTCTCTCCTCCACTCCTCGTTTCATTGGTCCACTGTGACCTGTTTGGTAATTTTATCGGTCCGATTATTTTTTTAACCTTTATTTATACAGGTAGTCTCATTGAGTCATGAGGACCCACCCCCCAGGAGAGATGTGTATTATGTGAGCGCCAGGGTGTGATGAGGTTAAATGTTTTGGTGGCAGGAAGCTTGTTAGCCCGTCAAAAAAAATAAAAATCCATAAATTAGCCACAGCATTGTGTATACTGCGGGGGTTCAAAGCGTGTGGAAAAAGTAGCAGCTTATAGTCCGGAAATTACGGTATGTGTTATAAATGACTCTTAGCTACTACGTCAACAAATGTTAGCTCTATATCTGTAAAACTAATTGAGTTACAGCCATTTTGTACTGGCTAATGAATTGGTGTTGCAACCATCTTCATCAGCTGTAGATGCACAACCACTGATTATTTTCTGAAACTTTCCTTAAAACTATTCAGTGGTTTATGACATATTTTGGTAACAGCCACACACATGAGCAAAATCATTATCTCCCACCTTCACCTTCCACGAGCGGGCAATAATGATATTTGACATGTTTGGTGTCGTTTCAAAACAGTTTTTCTCTGATGAGTAAAGCGGGGTCATTTAATGATGAACGTGCTCTAAATGTATTGATCCGTCTGTGAGCAGCTGCTCAGTTGGTTTTTATGCGTCATCACTGGGCTCTTACCGTCAGTCCTGAGCACGGCCTCATTAGACACAGCTGTCCCCAGCTCGTTGGATGCATAGCAGACATATTTGCCTTGGTACTGCTTTAGGGTGTCCATACTGTCGCTAAGCACGGAGAATTCGAATGAGCCTAAGCTCTCCGTAACCTTTAGCTCCGGGTCAGTGCCTGGGTCAAACTCCTCCCCGTCCTTCAACCATCGAAAACTTAAAGAGGAGAAGAAGAAACAGGGTAGCATTGCATCATTCCAACTTCAAATGCACACACTGATTTATGTGCATGTGTGAAGAGTCTTTAATTCACATAAGATGTCACTAAATTTGAGGGCACAAATGGATTGCGGTAAAATTTACATGAGATCCCCCAGTGGGACTCAGGAGCCTGTGCTGTGTAATTGCGATGTTCATCTTTTCCTCAGCAATCGGAGCAGTTTTCCACTTCACAGGAGCCAAGACACTCAGAGAAGAAGATTGCCCGAGGGCTTAATGACATTTATCCCCTGTTGAAACAAGAACTCTGGCTGCAGAGAAGCTGCGCTCTCGTGTAGTACTAATATGTAGACGTCAGCTGAACAAGGAGAGGCAAGGTCACTGTCCTCACTTGTCGGAGAAGATAAGTTAGGCTACTCTTAGATTAACATAATTTAACATCAAACTCAAACACGCCGTGCTTCTTCTTTTTGTGTGGATGTGCTGGTGCTGACTAACATGGGCGGAGGGTTGCCAGACGCTTCACAGCACAAGGAGAAGTCGTCAGGGCTGAAGACAGTGGCAGACTCTGGCTGTTTGGTGATCTCAGGAGGCTTCTTGTCTGTGTGGACCAAAGTGAGAGTCACAGCACATTCAGAGAGCCATGAAACAGACAAAAAACACACACAGCATGAATTAGTTTGGACACAAGGACAGCATGCACACGCTGGTGAAGTCTTGTGATTTTGCTTTTTCATTGTATGGTGGTATAACTGTTTATAAGTGCTGTAAATCACTGTATCACAGACACCTATGCTGCTGTGAGAAAAGTAAAGGAACTGTTCAGATCTTTTGAAATAGGACGCAGTTGTAGATAGATCTTTGAATGACCTCAGTTTGGAAATACAGTTGTTTTAAGCTTGCATCAGTCCTCCTTGTTCTTGGCCTTTCAGTTGTTAACTATCCAGTCAAATTAAGCTCTATTTCCCTAAATTGAAAACATTCGAGCTACAACAAACAAGGTATAACAGTAAGTGTTAGACCTAACGAACAGCACAGAAAACAACAGAGATATGGTTCATTCCAACTTTAACAGCAGCTGTAAGTGCAGTTTATTCAGCCAGAATCACACAGAAAGACTTCACAGATGAGATGAAAGATAGTCTAAAGAAAAGAGCAGGAAAAAAAAATGGTTTGCAAAGAGAAGAACTTGACAATGCAAGACAAAGAGTTCATGTCAAGAAAAAATATCTGGTGCAGAGCTCCCTGAGAGACTGAGAGAGGGAAAAGTCTGTGCTAAAAAATTAAAAAAACAACCCTCAAAGAAATAAAAAAAGAACGTAATCACAACCAATAAAGATTTATCTTTATTTGTCCTATTTGTCTTTAAGAATCATAAAGAAAGTCATGACAACATACTCACAAAGAAATGTTGTAAATCAGCACCATTTGAGTTTTTAGCATAAATTCAATTAATTACTATGCACAGGCAGTTTGCAGTCTACAGGTTGCAGCCTGTTACTTGGAGGTCATTTGACTCAAAGGAAAAGAGACCAACATTGAGCCATTATTAACGTGTAAACCAGGGAATCGGGGACAGAGTGGCTGAGGATGGAGAAACAGCTCTGAAGATGGGGAGCTGAGAGGACTGGGACGAGGGATGAAAGTGAAGTGCTGCAAAGAGAGGGCTCATGCCGAGCACAGGAAAAGAAAAAGATGAGGCGATGAAGAAATAAAACAAACAAGGGGTGAAATCAGTAAGACTGATAGAGAGCGTGAAGGATTTTAATGGAAAAATAGAGGAGATAAACCCATTTCTCACAGCTGATCAAATTGAAGTTTAGGCTGTGAGCACTGCTCCATTATTGGCAGAGGAAGAGGAAGAGGAGCTGCTGCTCATAATGCTTTAAGTCCTCTTTATTTCCTTCTGTCTTTGATCTGACAGCCCCACTGTCTCCTGCAAACTTTCACTTCCCTGCTCCAGAGACCTGCTCCTGGGAGCCAAGAGGCTAAATACCCACAAACACACACACACATGCTTACAACACACACACACACACACATATAGACACACAAAGTGGCATAACACGGCTAATGCACACTTTGTTTTAGAGCACCGCTGTACAAAAAGGATTTATTTATTTATTGTTGGCAGGATGGGAGGAAATAAAATAAATCTGGCATAATAAAAGTGTTTACAGTGAGATGTGGTAGTGCCTTCATTAATATGAGACAAACAGCAATAAAGTTAAAAGCACTTACGATCGCCTATGTGGTCTGCACATCCACAGAATGACCAGAGGGAAGGAAATAAAAAAACATTAGTTAGACAGACAGATAGACAGACAGACAGACAGACAGACAGACAGACAGACAGACAGATAGACAGACAGACAGATAGATAGATAGATAGATAGATAGA